CCGGACATTTTAATTCCATTCATAACGCTTAATTAAAGTACTGTTGTCTGAGGGGTCATTAGAGTTACAATACCAAATCCCAGTACTCCCAGCCAACGAACTATCAACGGCTCAGAACCTAAAGGAAGATTGTTAATGACACGAACCGTAATTTTATAAGTGATAATACAACTTCGTGCTCATGTTTGGAAGATATTGAGGACAATGAAAAGTAATAAGAGTACGATTTTGACCACGATTTTGACCATTGTGCCTGCGAAAATAGTTGTTAGGTGTACTTTGAAACGAGATTTTATGTGATTTTAGAAATTTGATTATATGATATATTATGAACAATTCTAATCATTATGGTAATTAAAACATGGATGACTAAACCCACATTTATTAGCATAATAATTGATTTATGTAAAAGATGTAACAATTACGAGCAATCTGAGATAGAATTTGGATAAATTTAATTTGATAAGGTATGAATAATCCAATAATGCTTTAGTCGTGGTCTTAAATGTGTGTGTCAAAAAAGATGGAAATCGAAATATTTACAATACCATCGTCTCTTTGACCAAACTTGGACTCTTTGTGATTGTACCTAGAGCGTTGGTATATGACATTCAATTGTTACGATTCATTCTTATTTTTTTAACTATAAATTTTTAAAGTTGAGTGTGTAATAAGTAATTATACAATATCATTGCCATAACATTATTAATGTAATATTTGTAACCTATAAAAATGACCTTGTGCAAGGGTCAAAACTCCATTATATAAGTTACATATCAAGTTATCACACATAAAATTCTCTAAAACCAACAAATTAAACATGTTTAGAATCGCGAATATTATTCGCCTCTCCTTATTTTTGCTCCTCTCTATGAATATTTTTCGTGCGGGACATAGCTGTTTTTGGACTTACACAGTGCACGTTAATCTCGTTAATAATCTTCCGCTGGAATCTAAGCCACTGTATGTGTATTGCGCGTCCAAAGACGACGATCTTGGACATCACACTTTGGTACATGGTGAGAGTTGAGGCTTCAAGTTCTGTGTGAACCCTTTTGCCACCTTATTTTATTGCAACCTTAATTGGGGTGATTTGTATATGTCTTTTCATGCTTTTGATGCCAAATGACATTTGAAGTTTTACGACCCATGTGGTGGATGTAACTAGTGATGGTGCCGGGTTACCAAAAGGTGAATTTCATTTTTGGGAAGCTAATTATCACTAATCATATCGGATAACTAGTTGTTTTCATATACACCTGTTAAATAGTAAGAAACTAAATTGAGGTACTATATAAGTATTTCAAAACAATAGGATGGACAATGTCACATTTCATGAAATCTTGAGGATAAAATGTGACAAACGTGTTATTTGGTGTGTTTGAGAATTTTAATAAAATTGCCAAAAAGAAAATTGAAAAGGTAATTTTAATAAAATTGCCAAAAATAAAATTGAAAAGGTACCATGTATATTGTCCAGTCTTTTACTCAAGACCAAAACTAAGTTTCCTCAAGCCAAACTATAGTATGTGAAATTGAACTCGAATTCTTACTTAATTTACATTACCAAAATTATATAAAAAATATATTTCGTACTCATTGTTTTACATATTTTTAATAACTTCACATTTTTTACCTGGTCAGGTTGATGTTTGTATTTTAGTGGTATATAGAAGTATAATAACATTTAAAAAGGAAGTTTTTTACCTGGTCAGGTTGATGTTTGTATTTTAGTGGTATATAGAAGTATAATAACATTTAAAAAGGAAGTTGATGTTCTTATTCTAGTGGTAAATAGATGTATAAGAACATTTAAAATACTATAATAGATGTTATACGAAGTGTGTATAGATAATAAATTCAATCCATCCATCTTAAAAATATTTATAAAACATTCTTGTGTTTAAATATTTGTAAAATAATTTAACAAAAAGCCTTTGAATTAATTTATTAAGATTATTATAAAATATTTTTGGAATAAGAATACAATAATTTTTTACTTATTTTAACATGTATTTTAATATTTTTATGAGTATGAATTATTATTATTTTATAATTAATTTATTATATTTCATAAGAAGTATAAAATAATAAAATATTACGACTATTATATATTAATTAATTCATTCATTATACTTTTTTAATAAAATATAAATTAATAATGAGTCTCAATTATACATTTGTTAAATATGTGGATAATGTTCAAAAGTTATAAAAGGTGATGTAAAAAAAAATATTTCAAGAATGTTCTTTTAGAAAATAATTCTTAACGAAAAGGCTCCGCTTCCCCCAAATCCCGTCTCCCCCAAATCTCTCGGCCTCCATCTCTTCTTGCAGGTAAACTCCCTCAGTCGGTGTCCGTAATCGTCGGTGGACGATCTCCTCTGCTTATCCATGACCGCGGCCCTCCCGTCCTCTGTCTTGTCGCCACTGAATTAGGGCTAGGGTTCCGGCGGAATCAATTTTCGTTCGAAGGCCGCCGGAATTCAGTGGTTCGGGGCATGGCATGGTGTGGTCGCGTGTGGATGATGCTTGTATCGCCTAAATCGGCTTTGGTTGGAGCGCCTCTTGTCGGCCTGTTTTGGAGGGTTGTCATTGGTGGTCTTCCGGTTTTCGCAGGGTAAGGTCACCGGCTCCTCGTGTGTGCGGGGATGGCGGGTCGGGGCTACTTCTAGCGGGTCAGGTTGACTGGAGGTGCTTCGTTTGGGCTTGGCTGGAGCGGTCGAGCAGGGAAGCCCGTGATCCCCTTTCTCCCCTTGCTCGATTTTCGAGTTTTGGGGGAGGTCGACGGTCCCCAGAATAGGCTAGTGGTGTTAGGCTGCCTCGGTTGGGTGTCGGATCGGCTAGTGGTGTTAGCCGGTGGGGGTGGTGTTCGTGGTTTTTTGCGGCTGGAGTGTGGGTCGTGTTCTCGGTTTGTTTTTGCGGCTTCGGTCATCGTCTTGCTAGGCCTTATGCAGTGGTGGGCATGGTATCGGAACTTCAGAGCTCTCCTTGGAATCGACTTTGTCTGCTGTCCTTTTCGGATGTACCTGCTGTGAGAGGCTGTTATGTTCGTGTGTAGTTGCTTTTGGTTATTGTGTTTTCATTTATTTGTTTTTGTTTAGTCGTTTGTGTTGGTGTTTATGTTAATTGTTGTGTTTTAGGTTTGGGCCGTTGGCCTCAGTCTGCTCGAGTGTGAACTTATTATCCTTTTGGGACCACAAACTCGAGCATTACCCCGTTGGAGCCGTTTTAGTTTTGTGTCTTAGTGTGGAGTGGTTATTTCCCTGTTAGGATCGGTTCTGGCGCGCTTCGTCCTGTCCTCTCATGTTTATTCAGCTGGTGGCTGCGTGATGTCAGCTTGTGGTTGTAGTTTTGCACATTTGTGCCCTTATATAAAACTTCTATCGTTCCGAAAAAAAAAAAAAATATATTCTTTTAGGTTTGAGGATGAGTTTTTCAGTTGGATAAGAATTAGTGTTTGATGTGACAGTTACTGCAAAATGAGTTTATCAGTTGGAAATGACCTAACACTTCCAAGATACGCTTACTTTCGAATTGCGTATACCGACAATTTAAATAAACAAGACTTTAGTGAACAATACTCAAGTTTCATAACTCTTAGGGTTTCTAATTTATGAATAAGGCAAAGAGCTCTAAAATTCTAATTTTGAATTATTTCACATTTATGGGTATTTATAAATGTTCTTGGATATCTGTATGGGGTTCATTGCGGAGAAAGACACCATTCCGGTCATGTCAGGTCATCCCAAACTAAGTTAAAACCTTTTTGGCTCGAGCATGTATATCCAAGTCCAAGCTTGTTGCGCCTAATTACGTACTGAGCAAGTCCAGCACGCGTGCCGACAAGCCCATACTCTCTTGTTTGGACCCCCAAATGATGTCCCTTTTTTTATAGACGTCCTCAACAAACTTTTTTAGAGTTTTTCCACGCCTAATGCATAATTAAAGCCAATGTTTTAAATACCGTAGCGGTCGGTATTACCGGTAATATCGGATACCGGTGGTCCGACCAGTATGGTTACCTTCAAAATACCATTTTGGCCAAAATACCGGTTTATACTGACTTCATACCGGAAAATATCGGTTTTACCGGACAATACTAGCCAAATTACCGGTTAAAATACCGGATATACCAGATTTTGTAAAAAAAATATATTTTTATAACATTTTATAACATATTTTTATTAATTTATTTATATACATAAGAAGTTCTACACTTAATTTTAATATATTTACATCATTAGTAGATTGTACTTAATTTTAGTATTTATTCTAGATAGTTTTATACATTATTATTTATGTTATAATATATAATAGATTAATTCAATACTTATTAATACCGGTAAAATAGACGATAATATCGGTTGAACTAGCGTACCGGTGGCTCGTCCGGTATGATTCCCGATACAGTATTTAAAACATTGATTAGAGCTTGTTTGGCTTGAACAAAAATTCATCCAAGATCGACATTTGCAAATCCAAAAATCTTTGAGCTATTTAAACTCACTTTGAATTACACATAAACTCAACTATCTCATATTTCGGTTTTAGATGAACGTTTGGAAATCCAACAACTTTTAATGTTAAACCTGATATTTTTAAATTTTTGACACCTAATATTGAAAGTTACATAAAGCTACACTTTATATTTAAAGTTACACTACATTGTTGAAATATAGATTATTTTAGTTAAAAAATTTAATTTCTTGAACATGATATTTTTTATTTTTGAATCTCAAGTCTGTTTGGATTTTCTTTTATAATTCTATCTTTTAGTTAATTTATGTTCCATACATATTACAACTTTTATTAGTATAATATAAGATCTTAGAAATCGTCACCCCCACATAATTTTCTTATGAATAATAAAATAACATTACCGTAACATTATTAATGTAATATTTATATGATCAGTCTCCTGTGCTAAACTTGTACAAGGGCTACAATTCAACTATAAAATTATGTACTTAACCAAAGAAAAATTATCAATACATCATATAAAAATTTCTCCCTAAAAGCAACTAATCAAATACCATGGTTAGGACCACAAACATCGTTTGCCTCGCGTTATTTTTACTCCTCTCTACAAATCTTTTCCATTGGGGTCAGAGTTGTTTTTTGCTCTATGATGCCCGTGTGAGTTTCACCAACAATCTTCCGAAAAACTCTAAGCCGCTCAATCTGCATTGTAAGTCTAAAGACGATGACCTTGGAAATCACACGCTCAGTTATGGTGAGAGCTGGGGATTCAAATTCTGCGTGAACATTTTTGCCACCTTATTTTATTGCAACCTTAATTGGGGCGATAAGTACATGTCCTTACATGCTTTCGATGGCAAGTGGTATAGAAGCGTGCACGATCCTTGCGCTGGCAATCGTGGAAATAATTGCGCGTGGACGGTAGACAGTGATGGTGCTCGTTTACCAAAAGGAGAGGATCATCATTGGGAATAAGCAATTCACTAATCATGTGCTAATTGTATTTAAAATTCACATCATGATATGTGAGTTACTTAAGAAATAAAGTGTTGAAGTGTTTAAGTTTTGGAGATGTGTTTAGCAGGACAAGTTCATAAATTCTGAAGGACCTTGTGAAAATAACCAATGACATGATACTTTAATTTATTTACTTGGTATAAATGTATTTCAATAAGTAAAATAGTAAATAACATAAATTTATTTGGTCACTGTGTCCTCACCCAGGTTGATGACGTCCTCTAAATAAGCTTAGGATGGCCTGCGGGCGGATTAGTTTCTGTCATAATAATAAAGAATTGAGTTGTACTAGTTTCAGATATAGAAGTTGATTAATTAATTATATCATCAGTAATTAAATTAATCAATGAGTTAGATCTTAAACATATGGAGGCAATTCGAGCAATTAAGCTGGGAGACTAATTATTTGTGATTCGGAGCTAAAAGGGGAATGCAATAATATTACTCTGGTGAAATATTTTATTATTCAAGTGTGAACACAAAATTGGGTCAGGTCTATTGGGAGTATTCACACTGTGAGAACTCATATTACCTCTTTAGGGTCCCTATTGTAGCCTATAAATAAACCAAGATCCAAACCTCCTCCAACACATACATTCACATGCATGTTTTTAGGTCTCCCACAAAAGAGAAAATTAGTGAGGATTGGGAGTTTCATTTAGTCCACCACCAAGACTACTTGGAGTAGGTGTAGATGTCATACGATATAAGAAAATAAGGTCTCATTTTTTGCATCCCGCGAATATAGTTATCCCTGGAGATTGTCTGATCATGACCAAAAATGGAGAGGACAATCACCAGCGACCACCGCACATCCACCGGAACCACCGCCGAACGGAGCTGCTGCCGCCGCACTGCAGCGCCATAATGATAGGTCGAAAAATATGCGCGTTTTATATATTTAATGGTGTATTTTTATACACTTAATTTATTCGGACATTTATATTTATTTATTTATTTATTATTTAGATGGATTTATTTGTTTTGATGTTTTATGTGTTATTTTTAGGATTTTAGAATATTTTGTGTACGCAAAGCATTTGACGGAATTTCATGTGAACTATTGACGGGCGACCCAATACCAGAGAAAGAATGAAGAGCCACAATGAATTAACGTGGGCTGGAGCATTTGGTAATTAAAAGCCCAAATCAATTAAAAAAGAAAAAAAATTGGACTAGAAATTAATTTTTATAAAAAAAAAAGGGGGGGTCAAATCAAGAATCTATGGCCCAATTTGAATTTGAAGTGCTATGGGCAATAGAGAGACGTTAGCCGAGAGAGTTTCAATTGGTTGTCATTAGAAATTTAAAGAAGGCGTTAAAATTAATTAACGGTAGATTTAGATTGATAACTGAACCGAAAACTGGATTCGAGCTAGGGTTCGAGCTTGTTGTTTGCCGCATCGCGACGTGCTATCACCCAACACACAACCCGGCTCACGCACGCATGCATCCGTGATGCACGCCAGTACTGCCCAACGTGAACGCACGCTCGCAGGCGCACGCCCAGCGCACGACGCCAACCGTAGTGCACGGCTGCACGATGCAGTCGTGACATGCAGCCTTATGCGGATAAAGCATGTCGCAGCCAGCGCACACAGCGACGCAACGAGGCACACGCACGAAATGCAGCACCTGCGATGACCACTCGACAATCCCGATGCACGGCCCGAAGCTCAACAAAACACAGCAAAGAACATAGGCTCAATGACGCACCTCAGAACTGTTCATCCAGCCCCGTAGGCTATGTAAGTCATCTAAGAGTTGACAAATTTTTTAAATCGTAAGTCATTATTCTAATTATTTAAACCGTAAGTCTTTATTCTAATTATATATTCCGTTGCGTTATGATTAATTTTAATATATTTGGATGTGCAAATTGACGACGTTCCTTATAGAAACCAACAACCGGTATCAGAGCCCAAAACTTAATTCGTCTTTGTGCACTATTCGAATTAGGTCTTATCTGGCATATGTGAATTAGTTATGTACGGGTGCAACACATAGTAGATTAAAATTGCAAATAGTTGATTGTTTGCAGGTTATCTTGAATCCTACTATTGTGACCCGTATGAATGTGTTTTAATTCATGTATGTTTTAAAAGTCTCAGACATGTCGGAGATTATTGGGTTGGTGAATAATTGTAATAATTTATTCGCGTGGTAGAACATCGCATAGTTTGAATTCTTTACTAGGTCATTCATGTACGACCTCTGCATGGGTCATAGGTTGAATAATTAATTGTTATTATGTTGATTCAATTTAACCCGGTGGACGCGGACGAGCCCGGGCGATCGAGACGACGACCGGCACATCCCGACGAGACGAGGCAAGCCAACCGCAAACCGGCAGTCGCCAGTGCGTGTGGTGTCGTGTGCACGCAAGCGCACCCGCCGACAACTTGCTGCCAGGTTGTTTTAAAGTTACACTAGATTGTTGAAATATAAATTATTTTACTTCAAAAAATTTCATTTCTTCAATATGATATTTTATTTGTTTAAAACTTTAAATTTCAAGTTGTTTGGATTTTATTTTTATAATTTTATATTTTGGTTTATGTTTCATACATTGTACATCTTTTTATTACGATAATATAAAATCTTAGAAGTCTTTACCCCCACTAAATTTTCTTATGAATAATATAATTACGTTACCGTAACATTATTAATGTAATATTTATGATCATCCTTTACTAATTTTATACAAGGCTACAATTCAACTATAAAATTATGTACTTAACTAAAGAAAAATTATCAATATACATCATACATAATTTTTTTCCTAAAACCAATAATTAAACATCATGTTTAGAACCACAAACATTGTTTACCCCATGTCATTTTTTCTCCTTTCTACATATCTTTTCCATAAGGATATGAGCTGTTTCTTCTACTACGAAGCCCGTGTAAGTTTCATCAACTATCTTCCACAAAACTCTAAGCCGCTCGACCTGCATTGCGCGTCAAAAGATGACGACCTTGGAAATCACACGCTCGGTTATGGTGAGAGTTGGGGCTTCAAATTCTGTGTGAACCCTTTTGCCACCTTATTTTATTGCAACCTTTATTGGGGTAACAATTTCATGGCTTTTCATGCTTTTGAAGGAAGATGGTTAATAAGCTTGCACAATCCTTGCACTGGTTTTAATAGAACTGATTGCCCATGGAAGGTAGAGAGTGAGGGTGCTAGTTTACCAGGAGGAGAGTTTCATTATTGGGAAGCAACTCACTAATCATGTGCTAATTGTATTTAAAATGCACATCATGATGTGTGAATTGGTTGTTAAGAAATAAAGTGTGGAAGTGTTTTAAGTTTTGTAGATGTGTTTATCAGGATAAGTTCATCAGTTCTGGAGGACCCTGTGAAAATAATCAAACGACAAGATACTTTAATTTGTTTGTTTGGTATAAATGTATTTCAATTAATTATATAATTAAAAATTTAAAATTTATAATAATATTCGAATACAGTACAATACATGTGTAAATGCGTCTTGTGTGAATTGAAAAATTATGGATAAAAAGATTTAAAATTTAATAGAACTTTATCTTTTAATTTTAAATATTTCTTTAGAAAATATGTTATTGTTTATACTTAAAATAATGCTCTGGTATCAAATGATTAAAGGAGTAATTGAATATGAATTCAACTAGTAAAAATCTAGTTTTTTTAACTATAGTTAAGTTTGAAAAAAAAGTGGTATGGTTAATTGTTAATGGATATATTAAAATAATATTTAAAATAAAATAATTAAAGTTGATTTGATGTAAAAGTAAGAGAAAATGATTGGAACTGATAGTTATTTAAAATTATGTGAGTGATTGAATAGTGAATTAAAGTTGATGTGATGTGTAAAAATGATTGGTTGATATTATTTTATTATATTAATAATATTAAAAATAATGGAGTTGAGTTAAAGTTGTGTTAAATTTGAGTTTGAATTAGTTTTTTACTGTACAATGCATAAACAATCACCCTAAATTTTTCTTCAAAAGATGTGTTAAAAATTCGGGTAAAACATTGGTCCCAACCTTTACTATACGTGCTTTTAGAATTTTCAACCTCTAGTATTTTTTTGTTGTAAATTACAATCCGAACTTCATGAATTTTCATAATTTGCACGTCTCTTACATCTTGCCCATACACGTGTCCTTTCTTTGCGGATGATTGTATGGTCAAGAAGTAGGAAAGCGTGCAAATTATAAATGTTCATGAAGTTTAGGCTGCAAGGTTGAAAATCACCAAAACACGTATAGTGGTTGGAAAAAATTATATACCCTATAATTTATACTTAAATAACGCTCAAGTATCAAACAAGCCACAATATTAGGCCAAAATTAAAAATTGGTCATATAATTTGAACAAAGTCCAAAAATTCACCCTATCATTGACTACATTCAATATGAGTACAATAACTTGTCAATTTCATCAATTTTCGTCCCTTTTTATTCGCACACTGGACAAAAAATTGACTTGGTGTGACGTGACTTGTTTGTTATTTGATGTGGAGTGATTGTGGTTTACCTAGTGGGATTAGAAAAGGCGCAAAACTTGTGAGATTTTGCCCTCAATTCTGCAACCTAAATCGACAGATTCATTCCCAATTCCTAAAAACCTAAAATATCAAAGGGTGCGAAAAAATTAAATCTTTGACTCTCAATTTTTCGACATTTCACGGAATCAAATTTATTTCAAGATGGTGAGGAATAAAGTGAAATCCTTTAAGGATAAGTCTAAATTAGCGAAGGAGATTTCTCAATTGAAGGAAATATATGAACCACTGAAGGAGAAATCGCAAGACCTCTCAATATCAACTAGTGCATCAGTAATCCGAACCACGAATGAAGAAGAAATATAAAATCCACAAAGGCATATAAAGTAGAAGATCTTAGTTTGATCGAGAAAATTGCTCTAGGAGTTGAAGTCCCCAACTGCCGATGAAACTGCGGTGAAAATAGTTTGTAGACTACTGCACGGCTGAGGGTGTGCACTGTCAGCGCACAGCGCCTTATAGCCCACAGCAGAACGGTGTCGTCGAATGCCAAAATGGAGCAGTGGTAGCAACGCCGAGGAGCATGCTCAAGGCAAAGAGCGTGCCTGGATGGTTCTGGGGTGAGGCGGTCAACACCTCTGTGTACGTATTGAACAGGCACCCGACCAAGAGCGTGGAGAGCATGATACCGTTTGAGGCGGGGCACAGGAGGAAGCCAGTGGTGCACCATCTCACCGACAATGAGCACAAGGTGCTCAAACTTTGAAAGACGTTGTACGGTCTGCATCAAGCACCACGGGCCTGGAACACATAGTTTGACACCACGATGATGTCGCTCGACTTCAAGAGGAGCACATTGGCCACGCCATCTACATTAGGCGGAACGACGACTCGCAATTGGTGGTCGGAGTCTACGTCGATGATCTCATGATCACTGGCTCAAGTTGCGGCGATATCAAGTCGTTCAACATGGCGGTCGTGTTCAAGATGATTGGCCTTAGCCTATTTCACTACTACCTCGGGGACCTTAGCCTATTTCACTACTACCTCGGCATTGAAGTGAGTCATAATGGCGAGGGGAATCTTGCTCAGCCAGGGCGCCTATGTTGGCAAGATTCGGGAGAAGAATAGCATGGATGCGTGCAATCCCTACCAAGTGCCTATGGAAGCATGATTGAAGTTGAGAAAATTTAGCTCGAAGCCAGCAGTCGACCTGACAGAGTACATGAGCATCGTCAGGAGCTTGAGGTACTTGGTTAATACTCGCTCCGATTTGGCTTTTGCGGTTCGATGTTGTTAGCCGATTCTTGGAGGACCCAAGTAAGGATCACCTTGCTGTCATGAACCACATTCTGCGTTATGTGGCAAGGACCCAGAATTGGGGACTCTGATTTGGCAGGAAGGAGGAGAAGGAAGCTCACTTGACGTGTTTTAGTGATAGCGATTATGCTGGGGTTGTTGATGCTAGCAAGAGCACAACAGGTGATTTTCTTCCTTAACAGTAGCCCAATCACCTAGCAATCCATGAAGTAAAGTGGTGACACAGTCAAGCTGTGAGGCGGAATACATAACAGCTGCAAACGCTGTTGTCAAGTATTGTGGCTCACTTAGGTGCTTGTAAGGTGAAGGGATCAGCACCAAGAGCGCCAATGTTGAGGGTGGACAACAAGTCTGCCATTGCCTTAATCAAGAACCCAATATTCTATGGACAGCGCAAACACATTCGAGTAAAATATCATTTTATCTAGGAGCCTGCAGGAGAAGGCTTGAGCAATGTCGGATTCATCAAGAGCGAAGAACAACTGGGCGATATTCTGACGAAGCCGCTTGGGAGGACCAAGTTCCATGAACTGCGCTCTAAGATCGGCCCGATTAATGTCAGCAATGTGCACAAGGCTTAGGAGGAGAATATAGGAAATATTCTTTTATAGGATATAATCCTTGTGCACCTAAATTAGGTTATCTGTTTCCTAATTGCTTCCTTAGATTACTGTGAATATTTGCTTGATTCTAGTTTCCATATAATCTTGATTCGTAGGCCTTTTTTAGATCATTGTATTCCTCTATACAAGCAATAGAATAGCACAAGAAAATGTGTCAATTCAATAACACCAAACAATAGCATGTTCTTTTGTGTTCGTGTGAGTTTTTCTTTTGTCTTGTGTTTTGACAATGATCTCGGTAGGTAACAGGGTGTTGTCTTTTCGGCGAGGTTCTAACAAGCATGACTAGTTTTTATTTGAACGAACACCTATAAACGCATCGTATGATGGCGTAGCGTAGCGCAGCACTTCCTATATTTTCCACTTCCACACAACAACTTTTGGTAAAATAATAAGTAGATATTGATAATATATCGTTGTAACATTATTGTTGTAATATTCACATGCTAGTATATGGATTACATTAATTCGCCTATATATAATTATGAACTTTCACCAAATCAATTCACACAATAAGAAAAAATCCACAATATTGAATCAACAAATTAAACATCATGCTTAGACCTTCAAACATTCTTTACCCTTTTCTATTTCTTCTCCTCTCTATGGATCTTCTCCACAAGGGTCAGAGCTGTTTTTTGTACTACAAAGTCCACGTTAGTTTCGTCAACAATCTTCCCGAAAATTTGAGGCCACTTTACGTGCAGTGCATGTCAAAAGACGACGATCTTGGAATTCATAGGCTGATGTTTGGTCAAACTTGGGGCTTCAAATTCTGTGTGAAGCCTTTTTCAACCTTATTCTATTGCAACCTTAATTGGAGTAGTTTGCACATTGGCCTTCAGGCTTATAATGCTTTGTGGATTCTGAATCCCTGCAATAAAGGGGAATGCGCTTGGACTGTGATTGAAGCTGGGGCTGGTTTACCAAAAGGCAAGTTTCATCTTTGGGACACAACAGAATAAAATAACCATGTGTATCAACATGTGGTAATATATATAGTTTATTATGTTATTCGATATAATCAAGAAATAAATGAATCAGTATTTGAGTAAAAAAAATAATAATGTAATGGAGTAATATTAGTGTATCTTTTTTTGTTTAATTAATTTTTATGTATGCATATAAGGTTAAAAAATATTGGGAATAGACTATACTTTTTTATAAAATATATTGTTACTAAAAGAGTTGGGGCTTCAAATTCAGAAAAGAGATAGATTTTGAATCCCTGTGATAAAGGGCAATGCACCTGGGAGATAAAATACATAAATCATGTGTATATGTTAATGTTATATATTGTTTCTAATGTTATTTTTTATAATTAGTGCAAAAAATAAAATGAGCCCGTATTTATGTTTTTGAGATATATATGTTCAGCCAGAGGACGGTGCAAATATTTATATTGGGCGGTCAGGCTGTTAAGTGGCTCGATTCGACATATATTTTTAATAAAAAATTATATCAATACTATAAATTGTCGTACTTTGTTTATATTATTTTTTAAATTATGATATTTTAGATTGAAATTATAAAGTTGGTGTGATATAAAGTAAGAAAAAGCGATTTGAAATAATATGTAGTTAAAATTATGTGAGTGGATGAATAGTGAATTAAGATGTGTGAAGATGATTGATTGATATTATTTAATTATATGGAGAAGAATTGAGTTTAGTTAAATTTGAGTTGGATTTTAAGTTAAAAATATTATCTGATAAGTCCTAACCGAGTTTTTTATTTTTTTCGAACCGAATATTTTATATCAATTGAGATGTGGAGACTGGAGAGTAAAGTCAATACGCATAAAGACAATGTAGTTCTAAATATTCAAATTATTAAATGAAGACACCAACTAAATCTCATATTATTAAAAGCTACAACACTAAAAAAAAGTTTCCATAAAAATAACATATAATCTCTTGGCATTGAATTTGAGCAATTATGCACATAGATTGCAATGTAATTACAAAATTTCCAATCCATTAATTAAAGGGAGTGTAAAAATTTTATTTCATGTCCCACTAGGCGTACAAAATTTGAAACAATAAATTTTACTTAATGTCTCATTGGGCGTGTCAAATTTGTCTCACTAAAACAACTCCTATTTATAGGTGTAGGAGAGAAGATCTTGGAGAAGAATACATCGATTTAATTGGTCATTCATGGTTTGATATAATCTATTTTTTTGTCTTAAAATTTGACTTGGTAGGCAAAAAATAGTTGCATTCAAAATCGTGTGCAACTTTACAAAGAAAGATTGTGTACAATTTCTCAAAATTTGAATGCACCGATTTTTTTGGGTTCTTATGTTTTTTCTTAATCGTATCTTACTAATATTTTAGTAAGTTCATATCCATTTTTTTGTTAAGTTGATATAAATTTTTTAGGAAAGAACAGTTGCATAAATATTTCCACATATGTCAATCAGTTATCTCATAATCTCTCTCTCCAATCAAAGCACAAAAATAGACAATTGATACATACCTTTTGGAAATGGCATCTTTCTTGATTATGAAATGAATACTTTAAAAAAAAATGAAATATTCCAGAGGGGGAGCCACAGCTGGCGGCGGCCTGACCACCGACGGTGTCGGTCGACCGACACCGCAGATGGGCCCGGGTTGCGCGGAGATTGGGCCCGGGACAATCCCCCTGCCCGTCGAGTGGTGGATTTACAGACCGATTACAAAATGTTTATGTATAACATAAAATCAAAATGATATAAAGTAATTATGAAAAACTGATTATAAATTTCAGTTAAACAAATAGTTTGAGAATTCGTTTTTCTATTATCTAGTTAGTAAACAACATATAAACTGTAATTATAGTGTTTGTTGTTTATTTGGCCTACGTAAGTAATTTGAGTCAAAGATTCAAAACAAGAGTTGTTCAGAATTTGAATGCACAAACCAAAATTGCATTCTATAATATCATAATACTAAAATGAATACCAAAGAAAAAATCATTTTGTATCAATATACTATACATAAGCAGTATATGAACAAGGAGCAGCAACCGAATACCTCACCTTCCTACTCATCGTCTTCTTTCACTCATTCACCTTAGCCATTTGATAGGTCGAAAAATGTGCACGTTTTATATATTTAATAGTGTATTTTTATACACTTATTCTATTCGCACGTTTATATTTTTCGACTTATTTATTATTTAGATGGATTTATTTGCTTTGAATATTTTATATTTATTTTCAGCACGATTGAGTATTTTGTGAACGAGAGCCTTGGACGGGATTTCACACGAGCCCAAGTTTAGGCCCAACAAGGATTTATCACTCAAAAGGAAGTTGGGCCAATTGACCAACAATTATTTCATTAGAATTTGATTCACGGGAAGTTGATTGGTGGAATTTAATTTGATGGGCTTGCTAATCTACATGCATTGTAAGCATTTGAGGCTGGAGCACTAACACGAATGCATTTGGGAGAATTATTTGGGAGTCCTTATGCAACTAGGATTATTGTTACTTGGGGAAGGAATTATTTACGTGAGGAGAGGCGTGAACATTATATTTTTTTTTAACGAGGAAAAAAACGCGAGAGGCCGTACAGAAGAAAAAGAGAAAAGAGGCAGACAGAGAGACGCACGCACGAACTGAGAAGAAAGAAGGCTACACACGCGGAGGGAAGCCGCACACGCACACGAGGGAGATATTTATTCTCTCTTTTATCTAGTATTTATTTTTATTAGTATGATAGGCTAGTATTTTTATCCAGTTTGAGGGGATGTTTGAACCCTAACTTTAATTTGTCTATTAATTGAAGGATCTATTTTTTATCGTTGATTAATCGAGACGTCGTATTTATTTTTGTTGATGAGTTGATTCATGCTATCTGTGTTTAATGTTTATGAATTATGGTGTTTGATTTAGTTTGGCCAGCTAGGTTGAATATTCATAGTTTAATTGCTAGATTCGAGACTTTAATCCATAATTGTTATTGTCTTGTTTCGTTAGTAGTAAACTAGGGGTCGTGCATCTCTAGGGTAGCATGAGCATAAGTTAAATGGTCCGAGCTTTTGCGTCCATTGCTTAGATCAATCTATTTTCCTAGTAATTAATGCTGCTAGTGTATTAAATCTGGAGAGCTTATTCTAGGTTGTCCACTAGTTAGGTTTAGTCGAAGAGCCTATTTCGATTAAATATTCGGTAAGGGAAAATTCGGTTAACAGAGCTTGTTGTTAGCTAGGGTTGGTAATTCATTAGCAATTTAAAGAAAGCGCCGAAATTAATTAACGGTAGATTTAGATTGGGTGATAACTGAACCGAAAACTGGACTTCTCTTATTTTATTAGATTTTTATTTTATTTTCTTATTTTTATTTTTATTTTTATAAAACCAATCCTCCCACCTTTTATTGTTTTCTTAGTTTTAATTCAATTGATACAAAATTATCACGATTTAGTTCCTACTCCTTGTGGGATCGACCCTTACTCGCCGCTACTACTAGTTAGTAGAGGTTTGTTAAGGAAAAATTATAAATTTAACTTTGCCGTGTTGCGACGCGCGGTCACCATTACAGGCAGAGCAACAAACCTTGTTCTTTGCAATTGAATCTCCAAAACATAAGCAATTTTTTAGGTTGCAAACGTGTGGTTGGGATGGAAGAAATGCGTATCTCGGTATCCCACTACCAAAAATTAAGCAATTTACCATATTTAAAAACTTTTATTTGGCAAGATAATAACTCTATATGTGGTAATTGAAATTGAAAATATTTGTAAAAACTAAAAACGTCACAATAGTGTGTACAAATGTACCAAAAAAGAAGAAAAACAAACATTTTCTTTGTCCTGGCGCTGTAATCCTGTGTTCCAAGGTCGCAAATGGAAAGAATTACCGTACCATTATTGTCATAGCTAAAAATACATGTGGATAGGAGCGTAATTTTTCCCAAATCCAACACCCTATTTTCCGAAAAAACTTAGTAATTGCGGATACTTGACCCGACTGTTCAGTTTCCAAACTACAAAGAGACTCGTAGTTGTGCTTCAAATGGGGAGCAGCAATTTTTTCCTGTCGAGTCGAATATTGAATTTAGATGAAGCTATCTGGAAATCAATTTTTGGAAATAAATTACAAAGTAAATAGGATGGAAACAAACATACCTTGAACACCTCGAAAGGGCAAAAGTCAGAATTTCGACAACCCTATGAACAAGAAGACAACCATATATCATCTAAAAGCTTCAGAAATAGTGGCAGAAGCTTAATTTGCATAAAAAATTGCTGTAGAAATTAGTGACATTTCATTTTACAAGTTACAAGTCTTGCATCTTTTAATTGTAAGATCTTGTTTAGAAAATGAATCCTTTTCGAAAAACAAACTTGTAAGCTGTTAGCTCAGCCAAACACCCTGTACAATGTGCAGATAAAACATTCACAATCACTCAAAAATCCATAGTAGGACGGAACATCATTGAGTTCAAGACAAAGTTGAAGACAAGGTTTAAAATTTGAAAAAAAAAAATAGAAAACACGAGATTGCAAATCTCATAACAGAGGAAAACGAGCTTACTGCCATTGGAACAGGACGTTCGTTGTGCAGTACTTGCACAAAGTACTCGTTCGTGTTGTTGGCCTGGCAGCTATATAGAACGAGCATGTTATTTCCGGCAAATGGTGCCACTGTGCTGCCACGCCAGATTCTCTTTTGGGGTGGTTTGACGGGTAGGTTCAGAGGTTGTTCACTTAGTATTTGTGCAAACTCTGAAGGGCCACCAGAAACAAATCAAAATTTTAGTCCCAAAGGCTGNNAAAAAAAGGTCAATTAGAGAGCTTACCGGTTCCATCAAGAAATAGTCCGATCAAACATGAAAACGGAAGCAGTGTTTCTGCATGGGCGAACCTTAATCTGGCCAATTCGTAGCTCCCATGAACGTGTCCATCTAAAATGAAGAGAAGGCAAAGTGCAGAGTGAGGAGTGAATACATGAATAAAATTAACGAGGACACTGAATTAAGATAAATATTTTCCAATCAACTAGCAGGATACATCCGCTTTGTGTTCATTGAAATTTGGGAACACTAGGATACGAATACCTAATCCAAATATCATTCTCTTTACAAGTATAGCCACATGGAAAGGAAGGGTAGCAGTAGCATGAGATTATCTCGACTATTTGGCCTTCCACAAATCCACGGAACATTTTTTAGCCATAAGTGGCAATAAGGCATAGATACAAACTAACTAGGCTATGCTAGCTAAGCCTAGCTATAAGCTCCTTATAGCTTTTAAGTGAATTCCGATCTTATAACTGATAGCTTATGACTTATGGCTGAAAAGCTAGCTTATATGATAAAAGTGTTTGGTAAAATGTCAATGGGCTTATTTGAAAAGCTACCCCAAGGAAGCTTATGATAAGCTCAAGCTTTTGTCCTACCAAGCTTATTTGAATACAAGAAGCTTATAAGCTAACCAAATAAACTACAAAACTAGTTCATTTGCTTACCAAACACAGCCTTAGTTTACCAGCCTCTAATTACCACTGCATGCTCCCAGAAATCAACTCATTTTGATGTAAATATATATTCTACAATGACACGATTTATTTGTTCTGATGTGTCCCTCATTCTCTCAACCTTGAAGCTAAAACTGCCTCCAGGATATTACATACGCCAATAAATAAACAAGGATAATGATGTATATAAAGAAACATACCTTCAGTATCCTTAATAGCTTGCTCCATTGACCGGATTACATCTTCAAGTAAAGGAACTCCCATACGGTAATTCAATGAATTACCATAGCCTTTCAGTACAAAGACCTCCAGGTCATCTGTCCACTCCAGCAAACGAACCTACAAAGGACATAAGTTGATGCCATTTTAACATTTTCTATTAAATGCTACCAAAGAAAGTCTTTCTGAGGAAGTGCCCCCAAACATGAAATATCCAAATAAAACAAAATTACCGAGCCATTCACTCAACATTGAAAGGTGGAAAAGAAAGTGCCAGTACCTCATCTGGAGTGAACAGAGCACAGGCTTGATCTGTTGTGTTCAATAGAGAAGCTTCCTACAAGTCACATAAATTCAATATACTTGCATCCTGAATGCATTACAAATACACAGCAAGACGTACAGAAAACAAGGACAAAAATTACCTGTTTGCACAGAAACCACAGGGATGAAACATCTCGTCGAGTGAAATTCAGACCCCAACGTGTAACTAATGCTCGAGTTATTTCATCCAGCACAGGTTCCTTGAGCTTATCCACATATGGTTCTTGACTTTTCCTGAATGCCTTTTCATTCATAAATAAGCGACATAGCAGAATTCTTCAGAAGTACCAATAATATAAGCAGGTGGAACAAAAGTCACACACAGCTATAAGTACCAATAATATAAGCAGGCACATGGTAGAGGTGTACACAAATATTGCATTTCCACAAACTCTCCAGAAGTGATTTTACCTTGTAGTTTTGACAGCAATCATGGAATCTCAACATTATGTCACTTGCACGGCTTTCACTGGTAACTGCAAAAGCTCGATTACGTCCTGGACCAAGATTTCCATGACCGCTGAAGAGTCCCAAGCCAAAGGCTACAGCACTAGCCGAGGCTCGTGAAATCTAATAAATCCATAACAGGCAAAAGTTCTAGCACAGGTAAGCTACCGTCAATATACTCACGCTATGAATAGAAAGTATGTACCCCAATAACAAAAAATATCAAGACACCGACACATTATAATGTGAACTAGTAGCTTGCGAATCAAAACATGCAATATCAGGAAACTGTGGTTGAGTGCAAAAAATTTAAGAGCTCCAAAAACAATATTCAAGTGACTTTCCACAAACACGGGATATGACATAAATATATGGGAAAGCCTCCTTATATGTGAATGGATACAACTAACAAATGACAAACCTGAGTGGCTTTAATTGGATAGATATCAGGATGGTAATCTTCATTAAACAATTCTGGAAACCTTTCTCTTGTCCTGATACCAAGTTCATACAGTTCATTTTCTCCTGCGCTTATCAACTCACCACCCTTATGCTTTCCTGTCCATGGAGATTTCCATCCATGTAGCCATGCAGGAACCACGTTTAAACTCTGCTCCTTCGTGTTTTCTACAAGGACTTCCAGGCGAGTGGACAAGTCTGCTAGTTCTTTCATCTTTTTCTTGGTAGGAGCTCGAGTGCCATGCCTTGCCTGCCAACCAAGTAATTGGGGCAAAGTGCATACAGATGACAAAACAACATGTAGAGTGCAAACTTTTCATTAATTAATGATGAATCTAAAGTCTCTTAAACAAAGATTTGCGAACTGCAAAGTATAAATTATGTCAACACTCAACAGAGCAACTCAAGTCAGGTAATGGGCAAGATGGCATGGGACCTTAGATTGGTCAAAGCTAAAGAGCATATATGATCAGATATCCACAAAGCAGCCACAGACACATACATTATGATGCAGTTTCAGTACATAAACTACTAAAGCACTTCAAATCGAACCACGACCAATCTACCACTCCTTCAGTGCTATCACAATCTCGACCAAGATAACTCAAAACCACCACAACAGAGCGCAAAAACTTCTTCAGAGAACAAATATACCACTACTAATTACTCAAAACAGCATTCAAAAAAAAAAATTGTCGGAATTACCACAAGATTTAAGTGGACAGGCCTACACTGATCAGGAATTCTTGAAGGAATATATGAATTTTCATAAATATCCTTAGCGACTTGATATCTGCACAGAAGGCGAAGATACGCATACAAATCAGCTATGAATAAGTTACTCGAACAAAAAACAATGAATAAACAAAACCACCACACTTACTGTATGCTACTAATTAAGCACGCCATGGAATATATTGAAAATTTTGATTAAACTCCAAAAAAATATACATTCTACAAATTGGAGAGAGAGAGAGAGAGAGAGAGAGAGAGACCTAGTAACTGTGGATAGATGGCGGCGGACGTCGAAATTTTCTCCGGCGATGGAAAGAGGTACGGCTGTGATGATAAACAAGAGCATGAGCGATACACTCTGTGTAGCAGCTTCCATGGCTTCTCGAAAGAGTATAGGGAGTCTTCTTTCAATTTTCATACCCTGCCAAATAACACATCGTGGCCCTTACGTGGACATGCCCAGAACAGGAACACGAATACTTTCCCCCTACAGCCATTTTATAACTAGTTAAAGGTCGTGTGATATACTAAAAGCTCTGTTTCCGGGAGAGCTCAATTACAATGGAGCACCTAATCTAATGCAGAAGCTCAGGCTCAGCACATGCACATTCGGGCTTCAATTAAAAGCCATTTAAAGCAAAATCACCAAGGACAGACCAATTGTTAAAGAGCAAGTACAAAAGTTAACTGAATTCCAACGTTTCTGTACACACATATAAACTAACAACCTCACATACACTATCTGCTTGAGACATTCTATCAAACAGGTAACGAGCAACACAAAATCACAATAACTACCACCAACACATTGTTTCATATAAAGTATGATTCAGATTCAACTACCGTTTTAGCCTTCTAATAAAGGGAAATATCTGATAGTTTAAGCTGAAAAAAGCTCCATCAACCAACCTATCGTGCCCAAATAGCCATCAAGGGTTTCTTCCGCTGGGAGTTTCTTGGGTAATTCGTGCAAATGGCGATAGTTCAGAGCCCTGAAATTCGCCGAAGTATTTGGATCCGATTAATGGGTCACATTCGGGTCGGGCAAGAAAAAGACAAGACTGATGATAATGTCGAATGGAAGAGTAAAAATTCAAAATTCTGAAGATCAGCCTGTTAATTAATTAACTGTTAATTGTTTTGCATTAGCTGCAATCCACACCCCCAACAACCGCAAAATGCAAATATGCAGAAGTCAAAGTCTATTATTTTGGTGACGCGATTATCACGCAATGTAAGACGCAATATTTTAGCTTACTTATTGAACATTCACAATTTTTTACCAAGTGTTCAATCTTTATACAGGGTTTTACTATGAAGCAAACAGTTCACAATTTTTTACAAAGTGTTCAATTTTTATATAGGATTTTACTATGAAGCAAACAGTTGGCTCCATAGTGGAGTCAACCTTCTATATACAACAAATAAATCTATCATAATTATCTGATTATCTAAATAACATTAATATAATTATATTAATATGATAAATTTATTTGTTGTATATAAAAAGTTAGGCTCCACCACTATGGAGTCAACTATTGGCATCATAACAAAACGGATCCAATCTACAATAGATGACATCACTCACGGGATTAATGCCTTCTAGACACTTCACATATTTTAAGCATGTAATTCATTTCAGAAGTTATTGTTTGTAGTGGTTTTACCAAGTACGTGTATGAATACCAACTTCAGTTTGTCTCTCAAAAGAAAATTGGTCAGAATCGAATTCTGACAATCAATCATCTATTTTTTAATCAACAATTGTGTGAATCCATTATCAATTAATTATGTTATTGAAGAAAAGTATAATCGAAAGTCGAAGAACGAACGCACAGAAATTAGAACACCATTTTTGCTCAAGAGCTTCTTAGCTCAAAAATTCAGATCTCAAAATGAAAATGACGAGTACAGCTGAAATATGTTTTGGTTCCCTCAGCTCATTACAACCAATGAAAAGCGAACACGTGGACAAACTTAAAACATAAAAATAAAATGCAAAGATAAAAGAAAGGCACAAACACGAGTTCACAAATGACTCACGCCTTTAATAAGAAAACAAACACACTAAAAAACTCCAATTGCATGAACATGTCAACACCCCCCCCCTCAAGTGGGAATGTGAGGATTGCAACACATTCCCAACTTGCAAATGAAACGCTGGAAATCCGCACGACCAAGTGATTTGGTGAAAACGTCAGCCGGCTGAAGAGAAGACATGATGTGACGCGGGAGCAAAAAACCATTCTTGTAAAGATTACGCACCACATGACAATCAATATCGAGGTGTTTCGTGCGTTCATGAAACACCGGATTTGCGGCTATGTGGAGAGCAGCATTATTGTCACACCACAAAGAAACGGGAAGCTGCAAGGACAAAGAAAGATCGGCTCCTAAGAATGAAAGCCATTGAAGCTCGCAAGCCGTAGTAGCCATGGACCGGTATTCTGCCTCGGCAGATGAGCGGGAAACGGTTTTCTGCTTCTTGGTTTTCCAGGATATTAATGCTTGGCCTAGAAAAACACAATAGCCTGTGAGGGATTTTCGAGACAGGGCACAACTCCCCCAATCTGCATCACAAAAAGCTTCAAGCTGCTGAGAAGGATTGTTGGCATAGTAAAGGCCCAAAGTGGGTGTTCCTTTTAAGTACTTAACCAAATGTAAGGCCGCAGCCCAGTGTGCTTGTGTGGGAGATTGAACAAACTGACTGAGTTGTTGAACACCATAGGATATGTCAGCCCTAGACAAATTTAAGTAAAGCAATCTTCCAACAAGTCGTCTATAAGTAGATGAGTCTGGGAGCAATGGTGAAGACTGAGAGGACAAATTAAGGCCAGAAGGTAAAGGGGTCCCAGCTGGCTTACAATCATCTAAACCAAGATCATGAACAATGTCAAGAATATATTTCCTCTGACTTAGATAAGTTCCCTGACCAGTATTGCAAATCTCCAACCCCAAAAAATATTTTGCTTGCCCCAAATCTTTAATGGTGAAAAGATTATGAAGGTACCTCTTAAGATTCTGAATGTCAGCCAAAGAATGCCCAGTGATGAGGACATCATCTACATAAATGAGTAGAGCCAAGATATTTGAACCTGAGTGTTTGATGAACAAGCAATGATCATGTGGAGATTGAATAAAACCATAATGGAGAAGTTTGTCTGAGAACTCAATGTTTCACTGCCGTGAAGCTTGCTTGAGCCCATATAAACTTCTCTTCAGAAGGCAGACCTCACCCTTAGCAGCTTTAGCATATCCTTTAGGTGGCATCATGTACACTTCTTCATCCAAAAAACCATGGAGGAAGGCATTGTTTATGTCAATGTGATGTAGTTCCCAGTTTTGTTGTGTAGCTAGGGCTATGAGTAACCTCACTGAAACTAGCTTAGCCACTGGAGAAAAGCTATCAAAAAAATCCACACCCTCCTTTTGAAGATAACCTTTTGCCACCAAACGAGCCTTAAATTTGTCAATACTGCCATTGGCATTTCTCTTGATCTTATACACCCACTTAGACCCGATTGCTCTTTTTCCAGCTGGTAGTCTTGTAAGCTCCCATGTCTGATTTATTTCAAGGGCTTCTAACTCTCTGTTCATGGCTGCAATCCATCTCTCATCCTTTATGGCTTGTTCATAGAACAAAGGTTCGGAAGGAGTTTTGTCCACCTCTGTCAAAAATAAAGAAACATCTTCTTGTTCATCATCTGAAGAAAATTTATCCATGACATAATCTGTCATCCATATAGGCTTCTTTCTTAGTCTCTTGCTTCTGTCCAAAGGTTGATCATGTCTCATTACCAAGTCCTTTGATTGTGAATGGTCAACACTGGAGTGATCATTGATGCTGTGAAACTCAGGTTCAATTGAAATGACTTCTGGTGTTTCAAAGACTACAGGCAAAGGTATATCTTGTCCCACTGAATCATCTTTTCGTGTGTTCTTAGAGAAAGGAAATTCATCCTCATAGAAAGTCACATCCCTGGAGACAAACACCTCTTTACTCTTCAAGTCAAACAACCGATAACCTTTAACTCCAGAAATATAGCCCAAGAACACACAAGCTATTGCTCTTTCATCAAATTTCTGTTTGTGTGGACCATTTCTCTTTGCATAGCATAAACATCCAAAAACCTTAAACATGCTGTAGTTTGGTGAGGCCTGATGGAGCAACTCATAAGGACTTTTCCAACCTAACTTCTCACTAGGCAGAGTGTTTATTATCTGAACAGCTGCCAACAAACTATAAGGCCAAAGATTCTTCTGTACGTTTGCCTGAAAAGAGATTGACCTTGCCACTTCCAATATTGACCTGTGCTTCCTTTCCACTACCCCATTTTGTTGTGGGGTATATGGACATGATCTGTGATGTATTATCCCCTTTTCTTTCAGCAAATTCATCAGCTCCTCATTAACAAACTCAGTACCATTGTCAGATCTGAACTTCTGCACCCTTTCATCAAACTGTACCTCTACCATGTTCAGAAAGAACTTAATATGGCCATATGTTTCTGACTTGTACTTCATAAGAAATATCCAGGTGGCTCTTGTGTAATCATCAACAATGGTTAGCATATAGCAAGTATTTGTTATTGATTTCTCATGATATGGTCCCCATACATCTGCATGTATGAGTTCAAACCTTTTCTTGCTTTGAATGTGACTGAGTGGAAAGGAAGCTCTACACTGCTTTGACCTGTGGCAAATATCACATGGACTCATCTTCTGGTCTGAGTAATCATGCTTAAGAAAGCTGAGGTGTTTTAGGGCATTATATGAGCTGTGACCAAGCCGTTTGTGCCAAAGGACAGCCTCTTTGTTCACAACCTTCAATTCTTCTACAGCATTGGCATAAAACCCTTTCCCTTCTATGACATATAGTCCTGCCAAAACCTTTCCTTCAATAATTGTGATGTTGTGTCTTTCATCAGACAGCCTGCAACTTTTGCTAGTGAAATTAAAACTCAAGCCATTATCTTCAATTAATTGCCCCACAGACAGTAGATTGTATTTGAATTCAGGCACCAGCAACACCTTTTTGAGTGTTATCTTATCATTCAACTGTACTTCTCCAATCTTTGTGACCTTAAACTGTGAACCATCAGGTAAGTTGACTGTCACAGGAACATGAATATCAGTGCTTTGGATCACTAAATCAGGGTTTGAACAAATGTGTTTGCTGGCTCCAGTATCAACAATCCAGCTATCTTTGCTCAACTGACTGAATAATGAAAAAACATAACCTTCTTCTCCATTTGAGGACTCCACAAGATGAGAAAAAGTATGAGTTTCTGCATCTTGTTGCATTGACATGTATTTTGCAACTTCTTTTGCCAAAGTACTGATGTCTGGTACATTGTCACTATGTTGTGATTTCTCCTCTGAATCTGCCTTTGAATGGTCATCTCTCTCCACCATATTCACATTTTGACTTTGTCTGTGCTGCTTGAGTTCTTTATACCAGTCTGGATATCCATTTAGTTTAAAACATCCTTGTATTTCATGTCCATTGAATCCACAGTGAGTGCAATAAAGTTTTGCTCTCTCCTCTTTGGAAAGTCTTGGTGAGCCTCTTCCTCTACCTCCACTGTTGTAAAACTGTCCTCCTGAACCTCTCCCATTATTACCACGGCCAAAACCTGTACCTCTCCCATAGTTTCCTCTGGCCAACATAGCTGAAGTTTCCAACGGATTTAGTGTCCCAGTGACCATGCTTTTCTGTTTTTCTACTTTCAAGAGCATAGAATAAGCTTTGTTAATGGTTGGGAGTGGGTCCATCAGCAGGATTTGATTCTTAACCGGTTCAAACACATCATTCAAACCCATGAGAAACTGTAAGAGTTTGATTTCCATTTCATTTTCAGAAAAAGCCTTACTAGACCCACAGACACACTCAGGCAAAGACACAAGGCAGGCATATTCATCCCACAGACATTTCAGCTTAGTATAGTATGTGGTAACAGAATGTGAACCTTGAACAAAATTAGCTATCTCCTTTTGCAGTTGATATTTGAGAGGACCGTTAGATTCACCATATCTCTCAGCCAATTCATCCCACAACTGTTTGGCTGTCTTAACATACAAGAAAGCTTCAACGATTTCTTTCGAAATAGAATTTAGCAACCACGATATTACCATTGATTCTACCTTCTGATACTGAGTATAATCATCTGTGTTTGGCTCTGGAATTTCAACTGTCCCATTTATGAAACCGAGTTTAGATTTCGCACCTAGAGCTAGCTTCATAGCTCGATTCCAGTGCAAGTAATTCGCACCTGTAAGCTGAACCGTGACCAAGATCAGTCCAGGATGATCAGATCCATGAAGCGCCAATGGATCGATGTCTCTTGAGTAATTGCTGCGTACGATATCTCTACCAGGTTCATCTCTGTTGTGTGCCATCGAAGATCTATGCAATTAACCTGCTCTGATACCATGAAGAAAAGTATAATCGAAAGTCGAAGAACGAACGCACAGAAATTAGAACACCATTTTTGCTCAAGAGCTTCTTAGCTCAAAAATTCAGATCTCAAATGAAAATGACGAGTACAGCTGAAATATGTTTTGGTTCCCTCAGCTCATTACAACCAATGAAAAGCGAACACGTGGACAAACTTAAAACATAAAAATAAAATGCAAAGATAAAAGAAAGGCACAAACACGAGTTCACAAATGACTCACGCCTTTAATAAGAAAACAAACACACTAAAAAACTCCAATTGCATGAACATGTCAACATTTGACATTATTAAGTATGCATTTTAGTTCAAAAAGTATAATGAATCGACCTGTCTGACCAATAGGTAGCCTCGCAATAAAATTTGTAAATATTTTGAGGTGAGGGCATAAGGTTTTGGTTCATTGATTGACAAAATGCTGTTTGGGCAGCATGTTAACAATGTTTATTGTGGGTAAAAAAAGCAGGGTAGAGAAAAAGAGAACATATTCGGTGCTTGTGGATTGTCGTAAAAGAAAAAAGAGCAGTTTCCTTGAGCATTTTAGCGTTACGAATTATGATAAATGTTGTTGTTGAGCTTATTTGCAGTTTCTCTCGTCTGCAGATTTGTCCTGTTTGTGCTACAAAGGTGGGCATAAACATGGCTTCGCATGTGATTACTCAGCACGAGAGTATTTTAAAGATATCCTTTTTTTTTATTTTTTTTTTATTTTTTTTTTACTTTAAACCATACTAATAAACTGCTTTCTGAATATGAGTTCATTTTGTTTACACCCTTAACTAATAACAATACGCTCTCTGCAATAAGAAGCATAGAGGGTCTCGTTCGCGTTCGACTATATATATACTGAGGAAAGAAATGCAAGAGAAATATTTAAGTTGTATTAAGGAGACTCCCAGTTCAGGTCCCTTCTCTAATGCGGCATCCGATTCTATGCTTTTGTCTTTTGTCAATAGTTCACAAACCACTAAAAGTTCACGAAATATTGAAGCTCGTCGCACAAATAATGTGAGCTTGGCCGCGACAAGTTCCATTGATGATTGTATAGAGAAAATTTATGCAAATGCCTTCAAGTGTCGATTTTTTCAGTTGTTCACTAACCCTGTCCGATGTTATTGTGAACCCGATTGGTAGCAACTCTAGTTTTTGTTACTTTTTCTTGCAATTTGGTGGGTTTTTTTATTTGCTTCGCACTAGCAAATCATCTCTCTCTCTCTCTAGTGTCAAGGGTACCTATTAGAATCGACTCTCTCTCTCTCTCTCTCTCTTGTGTCGAGGGTACCTATTAGAATCATCTCTCTCTCTGGTGCACGTGTTAATAAGCACAAGGTTCGTTATCATTTTCCAGAATGTGGTGATTTAATCTATATTATGTTGATCTATGTTTATCTATTTAGTAAACCACCATCTCTGGTAACCGATGTGGATAACGAGAGAGCAAGAAGGTGCGAGTTTTTGCAGGGCTTGTTCCTAAACGCCATTCTGGACGACTTATGATCAGATAGCAAAGATGCACTTTTTGATGCCTAATTATTGACATAAAAGAGGGCATTGTTTAGTTCTCGTATATTCATTTGGTCTTGTTAGTTGTTTAACTGTTGTATATAATGATGATGATGAAACAAAGTTGTGTATGTCGCGTGTAGGATCATAGTCGAGTTCTTTGTGATCAACTTGTTATTCGCGTCGACACATTTTTCTAGAGTTATATTTATATGATTTATTCGTGTCGACACATTTTTCTTGAGTTATATTTATATGATTTATTCATGTCGACACATTTTTCCTAAGTTAAAAGGGGGGAGAGGTAGGCCTAAGAAAACTTGAAATGAGCTTAAACATTTAAATTTGAATGAAGATGTATATTTTGATCGAACACGATGGCGACATTTGATTCATATAGCTGATCATACTCATTGAAAATTTGACTGATTGTTGATTGTTGATATTTATATTATTGATTGGTTTAAGCACAATTCTTCTGAACCCGGTGAAGTCAAGTGAAGATCATCTGACTACTGATTAGAAGTTCCAAAAATTGTTGTCATGTTCCATTAGTAGAAAATTTTATACAGAAACTAACTAAATTGGCATTTCGACAAGAGTAACAAAACCCATACTGGTATTTTACTTCCAACTGTGGTTTTAAATATCGTAATAGCCGGTATATGGAGAAATGGTATATCGAATTGTAATGCAAATGTCAAACAAAACACCAATAAATAAATAAAAGGAAAGGAAATGGTTAATATTAACTTAAACATGTTAGAGTTTTTAATTTTATCTTGTTAAGAAAATTAAAGTTAAAAAGAACATGGTCATTTCATTTTACATATTTAATATAATATGTTTTATATACAAAATTATATTTGTTGAGTGTGGTAATACCATCTAAAATTAATAATACCATGTACCCGTGGCTATCGGTATTTAAAAAACATTGCTTCTAACATGATATATTAAAACTTGCCAATTTTTAACTCAAAATTCAAATACAAAACCATCTGATATAATAAAGCTCTCTATATATAAAGCTTTTAGCTATAAGCTCTCTCTATATATAAAGCTTTCAGCTATACCATTCCAAAAAGTACAGAAATTACAGGGTTCTCAAATTTCTGTCACCATCACCAATAATTGTTAGTTAACCGACTTAACCATTCGAACTAACTCGCTAACATAACCAAACACACCTTAACTACTGTCAATTGACCATCTCTGGTGAACCAACCCTGACTAATCCTTTATCATCACCATATTATCCTGTTCTATAGGAAATAGTTTTCTTTCTCTTTTCTCTCTTTCTTTCTTTCTATTCTTTTT